ACAGAGTGCAGGGGTCAGGACGGAATAACAGAGTGCAGGGGTCAGGACGGAATAACACAGAGTGCAGGGGTCAGGATGGAATAACACAGAGTGCAGGGGTCAGGACGGAATAACAGAGTGCAGGGGTCAGAACGGAAAATAACACAGAGTGCAGGGGTCAGGACAGTATAATGTATAGAGTGCAGGGGTCAGTTCTGCAGCCCCCCTATGTGATAGCTCTGAGGATGTGTGGGGTCAGGACGGAATAACAGAGTGCAGGGGTCAGGACGGAATAACACAGAGTGCAGGGGTCAGGATGGAATAACACAGAGTGCAGGGGTCAGGACGGAATAACAGAGTGCAGGGGTCAGAACGGAAAATAACACAGAGTGCAGGGGTCAGGACAGTATAATGTATAGAGTGCAGGGGTCAGTTCTGCAGCCCCCCTATGTGATAGCTCTGAGGATGTGACAGGTCCTCCTTATGGCGTCATCAGGGATCTAAGTAAAGCAATGTCACCGTTCTGGCTTCAACTTCCTTATTTTTGTATCTTGTTTTATGACCTTCGGAGGAGAGCCAGTTGTAGTGGATTCTACCTCGCTGCTCACTATGTATGAGCTGTATGTACCTCGCTGCTCACTATGTATGGGCTGTATGTACCTCGCTGCTCACTATGTATGGGCTGTATGTACCTCGCTGCTCACTATGTATGGGCTGTATGTACCTCGCTGCTCACTATGTATGGGCTGTATGTACCTCGCAGCTCACTATGTAGGGGCTGCATGTACCTCGCAGCTCACTATGTATGGGCTGCATGTACCTCGCTGCTCACTATGTATGGGCTGCATGTACCTCGCTGCTCACTATGTATGGGCTGCATGTACCTCGCTGCTCACTATGCATGAGCTGTATGTACCTCGCTGCTCACTATGTATGGGCTGTAGGTGGTTTATGTTTTCTTATGAAAATTCAATTGTATGGGCTGTATGTACCTCGCAGCTCACTATGTAGGGGCTGCATGTACCTCGCAGCTCACTATGTAGGGGCTGCATGTACCTCGCAGCTCACTATGTATGGGCTGCATGTACCTCGCTGCTCACTATGTATGGGCTGCATGTACCTCGCTGCTCACTATGTATGGGCTGCATGTACCTCGCTGCTCACTATGTATGGGCTGCATGTACCTCGCTGCTCACTATGCATGAGCTGTATGTACCTCGCTGCTCACTATGTATGGGCTGTAGGTGGTTTATGTTTTCTTGCAAAAATTCAATCAAGTTTTTATGGAATTAAAAAAAAATGTCTACCTGCTATTTGAGGAAGCGATGTACAGCACACTGCCGGTCCCCCCCGCCCCCCCTACCAGCCGTGATCTGTCAGCACTACATTCACTGAATCTCTTCCTGGGAATGTTAGCCGTCACTGGCTCCCACACTTCCACAAACATGCAGGATTCAGAAAGTCGGAAGATCCGCATATCAGCAAGGCAACAGGAATTTTCAGATGGGGTCAGCACCGGCATCATCCATTCATGAAATAGGTGCTGGCGCCCGTACATTCCTCAGGATGTGATGGCACCTTATGTAGATGGGTGTTAACTGGAGCTGTGGTGGGATCTCCTAAGGAGTGCGGTCTGCCCTCTGCAATGTATACAATCTCCAGATCCCCCACCCCAGTACACGCAGTCACATACACACTCCGCGCTAGGACACATTAAGACTTGTACAAAATAAAATTTATTTATATAAACACTCCTGAGGGTCCCGGCCAATCACTCCTAGCTTCCTCAGGGTCCCGGCCAATCACTCCTAGCTTCCTGAGGGTCCCGGCCAATCACTCCTAGCTTCCTGAGGGTACAGGCCAATCACTCCTAGCTTCCCGAGGGTAAAGGCCATTGCCTCTGTTGTCCCAACCAATCAGTCCCTGGGTTCCAAGGGTCCAGGCCAATCACCTCCAGTTTCCCGGCCAATCACCTCCAGTGTCCCAGGGGTCCCGGCCAATCACCTCCAGTTTCCCAGGGGTCCCGGCCAATCACCCTCGGTGTTCTAGAGATCCTGGCCAATCACCCTCGGTGTTCTAGAGATCCCGGCCAACCATCCTCGGTTTTCTAGAGATCCCGGCCAACCATCCTCGGTGTTCTAGAGATCCCGGCCAACCATCCTCGGTGTTCTAGAGATCCCGGCCAACCACCCTCGGTGTTCTAGAGATCCCGGCCAACCATTCTCGGTGTTCTAGAGATCCCGGACAACCATCCTCGGTGTTCTAGCGATCCCGGCCAACCATCCTCGGTGTTCTAGAGATCCCGGCCAACCATCCTCGGTGTTCTAGAGATCCCGGCCAACCACCCTCAGTGTTCTAGAGATCCCGGCCAACCACCCTCAGTGTTCTAGAGATCCCGGCCAATCAACCTCGATGTTCTAGAGATCTCGGCCAATCACCCTCGATGTTCTAGAGATCCCGGCCAATCACCCTTGGTGTTCTGGAGATCCCGGCCAATCACCACCAGTGGCCCAGGAGTTCAGGCCGATCACCTCTTCTTGTACAGACACGGTTTGAGCTGCAGTCCCGCGTGTCTGGAGGCGTCGCGAGCCAAACGGGCTTTGCTGAACTCGAAGAGGTAGAAGTGACTGTTTTCTGTATTCTGGGGAAAGAAATACGAGTGTTACGTCACTTCCATAGAGCAACCTGGAATTATGTCTCGTCCATTAACCCTTCACATGAATGACAAGACCTACAGGTATGGCCCATCACTTGGTGTCACATGATCAGGCGTTAGCATGGCTGTGTTATGTCGGTTCGGGCTCCAGTCAACAATGCGACGTTCAGACCCAGACATGGTATAGTTGTATTAGGTATGTGAATGCTGCAGTAGTTCAGCCTGGAGAAATGACATGGCCGGCAGCTGCTGTATATACACATACTGTATATATACAAACATACGCACTGAGTGTTCTGGGCCGTATGCGTTTGGGGAGGCGCACATGGCCCTATAATGCATGCCCATTTGCATGCAGCCACCGCTAGTTATTGATGTCTACAGGCTGACTGGTAGTGGCTGCAGTAATTGGCTGAGACTATGTATACGGCACCCCTAGTCTGGGCAACTTTCACATTTTTGGGTTTCCAGCAATTTGTCCAGATGATTCCTGCACAAGGATCTAGAATGTCTCCACCATGGACCATTATTAGGAGGATTGAACCAGGCCAGATCCTGTATGTCTCCACCATGGACTAATATTAGGAGGATAGAACCAGGCCAGATCCTGCGTGTCTCCACCATGGACTATTATTAGGAGGATGGAACCAGGCCAGACCTAGCGTGTCTCCACCATGGACTATTATTAGGAGGATGGAACCAGGCCAGACCTAGCGTGTCTCCACCATGGACTATTATTAGGAGGATGGAACCAGGCCAGACCTAGCGTGTCTCCACCATGGACTATTATTAGGAGGATGGAACCAGGCCAGACCTAGCGTGTCTCCACCATGGACTATTATTAGGAGGATGGAACCAGGCCAGACCTAGCGTGTCTCCACCATGGACTATTATTAGGAGGATGGAACCAGGCCAGACCTAGCGTGTCTCCACCATGGACTATTATTAGGAGGATGGAACCAGGCCAGACCTAGCGTGTCTCCACCATGGACTATTATTAGGAGGATGGAACCAGGCCAGACCTAGCGTGTCTCCACCATGGACTATTATTAGGAGGATGGAACCAGGCCAGACCTAGCGTGTCTCCACCATGGACTATTATTAGGAGGATGGAACCAGGCCAGACCTAGCGTGTCTCCACCATGGACTATTATTAGGAGGATGGAACCAGGCCAGACCTAGCGTGTCTCCACCATGGACTATTATTAGGAGGATGGAACCAGGCCAGACCTAGCGTGTCTCCACCATGGACTATTATTAGGAGGATGGAACCAGGCCAGACCTAGCGTGTCTCCACCATGGACTATTATTAGGAGGATGGAACCAGGCCAGACCTAGCGTGTCTCCACCATGGACTATTATTAGGAGGATGGAACCAGGCCAGACCTAGCGTGTCTCCACCATGGACTATTATTAGGAGGATGGAACCAGGCCAGACCTAGCGTGTCTCCACCATGGACTATTATTAGGAGGATGGAACCAGGCCAGACCTAGCGTGTCTCCACCATGGACTATTATTAGGAGGATGGAACCAGGCCAGACCTAGCGTGTCTCCACCATGGACTATTATTAGGAGGATGGAACCAGGCCAGACCTAGCGTGTCTCCACCATGGACTATTATTAGGAGGATGGAACCAGGCCAGACCTAGCGTGTCTCCACCATGGACTATTATTAGGAGGATGGAACCAGGCCAGACCTAGCGTGTCTCCACCATGGACTATTATTAGGAGGATGGAACCAGGCCAGACCTAGCGTGTCTCCACCATGGACTATTATTAGGAGGATGGAACCAGGCCAGACCTAGCGTGTCTCCACCATGGACTATTATTAGGAGGATGGAACCAGGCCAGACCTAGCGTGTCTCCACCATGGACTATTATTAGGAGGATGGAACCAGGCCAGACCTAGCGTGTCTCCACCATGGACTATTATTAGGAGGATGGAACCAGGCCAGACCTAGCGTGTCTCCACCATGGACTATTATTAGGAGGATGGAACCAGGCCAGACCTAGCGTGTCTCCACCATGGACTATTATTAGGAGGATGGAACCAGGCCAGACCTAGCGTGTCTCCACCATGGACTATTATTAGGAGGATGGAACCAGGCCAGACCTAGCGTGTCTCCACCATGGACTATTATTAGGAGGATGGAACCAGGCCAGATCCTGCGTGTCTCCACCATGGACTATTATTAGGAGGATGGAACCAGGCCAGACCTAGCGTGTCTCCACTATGGACCATGATTAGGAGGATGAAACCAGGCCAGATCCTGTATGTCTCCACCATGGACTAATATTAGGAGGATAGAACCAGGCCAGATCCTGCGTGTCTCCACCATGGACTATTATTAGGAGGATGGAACCAGGCCAGATCCTGTGTGTCTTCACCATGGACTATTATTAGGAGGATGGAACCAGGCCAGATCCTGTGTGTCTTCACCATGGACTATTATTAGGAGGATGGAACCAGGCCAGATCCTGTGTGTCTTCACCATGGACTATTATTAGGAGGATGGAACCAGGCCAGATCCTGTGTGTCTTCACCATGGACTATTATTAGGAGGATGGAACCAGGCCAGATCCTGTGTGTCTTCACCATGGACTATTATTAGGAGGATGGAACCAGGCCAGATCCTGTGTGTCTTCACCATGGACTATTATTAGGAGGATGGAACCAGGCCAGATCCTGTGTGTCTCCACCATGGACTATTATTAGTAGGATGGAACCAGGCCAGATCCTGTGTGTCTTCACCATGGACTATTATTAGGAGGATAGAACCAGGCCAGATCCTGTGTGTCTCCACCATGGACTATTATTAGGAGGATGGAACCAGGCCAGATCCTGTGTGTCTCCACCATGGACCATTATTAGGAGGATGGAACCAGGCCAGACCTATCATGTCTCCACCATGGACCATTATTAGGAGAATGGAACCAGGCCAGATCCTGCGTGTCTCCACCATGGACCATTATTAGGAGGAAGGAACCAGGCCGGAGACCATCACAATGCTAAGAATGTAAGCCACCTAAATACCTTCCCTGCAGAAATCTGCCACCAGCAGGAGCAACAATACAAACAAATGTGGCGGCCATGAGCTCCTCCGGACGTCTCTAGAGTTCCTCCTAGCAAAATAATCCATCCCCGAGAACCAAGAGACCCAACTTACCTTATTCACGCATTTGAATCCCAACTGTGACATGGCGCTCAGGAACTGTCTGACGTCATCAAACCGACTGCTGACCTCAGCGACCAATAACACCCCCCTGAGAGAGAGAGAGAGATGAGAGACCTTCACTCACTGTCACATAGGAGACTGATCAGTGACCACCGAGAGAGTAGAGAGTTCATGACTGTCACTGTAAATAAGAGACAGCTGAGACTAGACAAGGAGACAGCTGAGACTAGACAAGGAGACAGCGGGAGAGACAAACTTACTCCATCTTCAGAACTCGATTTGCTTCTTTTAGAAAGTCACTGAGATTCTTCCCCATCAGAGACAGACAGAAGACGGCGATATCGACAGTCTCATCTGATAGCGGCACCTAGAGAAGGAGAGAGGTACAGCGTCAGTGACAGTGCTCTTCCAGCAGCAGTAATAGCCGGTACAACCATACAAGACTGGAGGGAAGGACGGAGGTCAGATAGAAGACTGAAGGGGAGGACGGAGGTCAGATAGAAGACTGAAGGGAAGGACGGAGGTCAGATAGAAGACTGAAGGGAAGGACGGAGGTCAGATAGAAGACTGAAGGGGAGTACAGAGGTCAGATAGAAGACTGGAGGGAAGGACGGAGGTCAGATAGAAGACTAAGGGAAGGACGGAATTCAGATTTCATCTTGTGATACTTCTGACTCCTTACCTGTGCCATGTCACACACAGTCACACGATCATTCAAAGCCACCAGATCAAAGGAGTGAACATTGTTTCGGACACTACATGCCAGCTGAGCATCTCCACAGCCGAAATCTGCCACCACCAGGGAGGGTGGCCTGGAACATAGAGAGGGACCACAATCAGCGCTATGTGAGAAGCCAACACAAGCAGATTCAACAGCTTCAGAGTGAACCCCTCCTCCCCCAAACATACCTCATGCACTATATAGATAAATGTATGTGGACCCCCCTCCAAATGATGGAGTTCAGGTGTCTCCAGGGAAGGTTCTGTTAATACGACATATACTGTCACCTGTATACAAGGCCGGCTCCATAAAGACATGGAGGGATGAGGTTGGTGTGGAGAGTCCAGCACAGAGCCCTGACCTCAACCCTACTGATCACCTTTGGGATGAATTGGAACCCTGATTGTGAGCCCGATCTTCTCATCCAACATCAGGCCCGGACCTTAGAATGTTCTTCTGGCTGAATGGACTCTTCACACACTTGTGGAAGCCTTCTCAGAGGAGTGAAGGCTGTTATACCCACAAAGGGGCCATCTCCAGATTGATGGGCAAGGTTTTGTAATGGGGTGTCCAACAAGCTCATAAAGATGGTGTAAACCTTTGAATGTGTAGTATATAATCACCCAACCTTCCCAGTACACCCCCTCCCTCTACATTCCGTAAATTCACTACAACTCTTCCCCTCACACTCCCTGGTCCACCTCACCACCCCCTTCCCTTAGACTCTCCATACCATCTGCCCCATAAATTTCCAGCGGCCTCCCCAATTACTCCCCACACCCTCCACCATACATTTCCTATACCCTCCCGCAACCTTCCTAGCACTACCTGCACACGCACCTGTTCTTGATATATTTGAGGATCTCGGTGATGGGGCTGATGGGCCAGCGTTGGACCTGTTGGGAGAATCCCGTGTGATAAATGTTGAAGGCCTCAGGGTCATTCTGGAAGAGTTGCACAGCTTGATGACTGTCCGATGTATACAGCTGTTCATTAATGTACCGAAAGCGAGCCGAATGTAGGCGCTGCTCCATGCGAGAACGAAGAGAGGCCGAGCGGTCAGTAACCTCCTCCTCTGGCAGATTGGAGTCATCAGGGCCGGTGGTGTCTTCAGGGTCCTCATCCGTGGTTGGGTCTTTTTCCCTCCCAGCTGCTTCCTTCTTCAGCAGCTTTTTCAGCTTCTCTAGTCTGGCCTTCACCACTGCTGTCATTTTTGGTGAAACTGGGTCACACTTACTGTCTCCTGATGTCTTCTTCCTGTGGTCCTTCTTCTGTCCTCCATCTTTGTCTGTAGTCTCTTCCTCTTCTTTATTCCCTCTTCTCTTTACATTTCCTGGCTGGACAGTTCTGTGGGACTCAAATTCTGTTCCTCCTTTGTTGTTCTTGGACCCTTTCCCACCATGGTCCTTGCTCGAGTCCCCAGGGGGATCGTATTTGGACTTCTCCCTTCCACCTGTCCTGGATTCTCCTTCCTCTCTGCTGGCCACTGTGTTCTTCTGCTTCTCCTCACATGGCTTGAATTTGTTTCGATTCTTCTTCTTGTTCTTCATTTTGTTCCTCCATTTCTGGCGGCTTAGTTGTGTTCCTGTGTTGGGAGGTGGAGACTTGGAGTTGGAAGTGGAGGACTCTTCTGGAATTATATCTAGAGAGGAAAGAACAGAGAACGTTGTTAGAACAGGAACAGTGCCAGCGAGTCCTGTCCTCAATTACCCCTCTGCCCCCGGACTGTGTCACTGTCTCTATTATTGTACCTCCATCCCCAGAGACCATTCCACTGTATCCTGTTCTCCTATTATTCCCCACTGTCTGGACTGTTCCATTTTGTCCTCTCCTCCCGTGTCCTCTCCATCTCCACCCCCCTACAGACCTTCCCACCGTGTCCTTTCCATCTCCACCCCCTACAGACTGTCCCACCATGTCCTTTCCATCTCCACCCCCCTACAGACTGTCCCACCATCTCCACCCCCTACAGACTGTCCCACCGTGTCCTTTCCATCTCCACCTTCTACAGACCGTGCCACCGTGTCCTTTCCATCTCCACCTTCTACAGACCGTGCCACTGTGTCCTCTCCATCTCCACCCCCTACAGACTGTCCCACCATGTCCTCTCCATCTCCACCCCCCTACAGACCTTCCCACCGTGTCCTTTCCATCTCCACCCCCTACAGACTGTCCCACCATGTCCTTTCCATCTCCACCCCCCTACAGACTGTCCCACCATCTCCACCCCC